CTATCTATGGCCTAACAACGTCATCCTCAACGTAGAAACCTGTAGAGTCGTAAACTTTTTGAAGGCCATAGATAGGCCTAAATAAAATGTTTTTAATTGTGTACCAGTTTACCGTTTAATATTATTTATGATTTTAACTTTATACAAAAGTGCCAAAATACTATAATTAACCAATATATTTCTCAGACAACATATTATGTTTGAAATTATATTATACTGTTGTGATTTATATATTAGAAAAGCTAGCAGACAATTGGAGAAGAGAATAAGAAAACATAAAATGTTAATTTCACTAATGAAGACTAATAGTTTACCCATTTATGAATATAATGTTCTCTCTAGCCATCTAACTATTTATGAAACTGTCAACTCAATGGTAATGTGGAACGGTTAAAAAAATTCAAAAGTAACTTTACTTAATAAACCATAAATCCGACACTTAACAGAGATTTTATATTAGGTATTAACAGTCTTTGGACTTTCTTAATTAAGAACACTAAAGAGCTCTGTCACAAGACCGCGCTCAGCAGCCAGTCGTAGAACTTTCAGTAGCTAAAACTATCCTCTCTAAAAACCGTATGTACTGTCAAGAAACAATACAACCCTGTACTTATAATAGCAAAACGCAAAATTAAAAATGCCTCATCAAAATCTTAAACTTTGTAGGCTTTTGTCTGTTGAAAAGCATTCAGCTTGGGTCAATAGCTAACAATGAAATCCTTTAAAAAATACCAATAGGTATCAGATGTCCCCAAATGTCTCCCAGTGTAACTCTTGAATAAAAACTTCAGAACCAAACTATAAGTATAATTCAAAACCTCTGTTTCTTATTTTCCCTTGACTTAAATAGATACAATTAAAATTTTTGATGTCCATAGAATACGAATTAGACATCAGAAATCTTGTTATTTTATTCTATAATCTACATATTCTACGTCGAAACGAATGCTCAAAATCATTCAATTTGAGCATTGAATTCATAACTAAGTAATGCTCAGCTGTGTAAAGATCAGTAACTTTTCAGTTGCTACTTTGACAGTTCGTTTGTAGTTACTTTTTTGACATTGTAAGCACACAGTGATGATCTAGAGCTTCAATATTCAAGTTCCTTCTGCAATGTTTAAACAATAAAGACATGTTTAAACAGTTATCTTGCAGTTTTTTTGGAAACAATGGTGGATCTAAAACTGAAAACAATACTGGATCAGAGGATTGCTGTTTTAGTTACGACTTAAAATAAAAATATAAGAGATTGCTTACACTATAATCCAATTAAACGTTTGGTTATAATTGAGGAGCTGTTACAATAGCTTCGGCGATGTCTGTCTAAATCTCGAAATCAAGTTCGGATACTGAAATGAAAAGGTAAAAAGAAAGGGGATAGTTGTAATGGAGTCAGATACGTAGTAATGTAAATTGAAATGTACCATCTAATGCTTCAGAACTTTACAAACCTTCTGGCTTAGACATTAGTAAAAGTAGATTCCTTGTTACTTAGTGCACGGAGTCCACTTTGTTTTTCTTATGACCTCGACCTTTCTTTACAGAATTCTGCTTTGCCTATTGTAAGTGGATCAAGTCTGAGAAAACGCGCGTGTGTGGTTAATCATAGAAAATGTGAATTCACTACAAATCAAGGAGGTTGTAAAGTGACATATATATATATATAACCGTCGGTAGTTTTCCACATACCATTAATTACAAAGTGATCAGGTTTTGTGCAGCGCAAATCTTCTGAATTATGCAAATGACATTAGAAAGCTTCTGTATTGCTAAAGATAGGCGAATACTCATATTTCAAAAGTTAACTATCGAGTAAAATGTTTTACTGTAAATTATTAATAATATACTTTGAAGGTTTAATTGTAATTTCGTGTTTTAACCGCAAGAGGATAGGTAATCTGATTTACTGCATTGCAACCGTTTTTCACCTTCAGTTGGGGTTACTGTTATGTTCGATAGCAAAACTCTGACATTGTCAAAACAATGATAAAGTAGTTGAACAAAACACCAAGATACTGTAAAATATAGATGAGATAGTTACGTTGCAGAATTTTGGAGAGGTTGGGGACAAGGCTAAATTTAAAAAAAAATCGTTTGGACGCTTGGATAAGAAAGCTGTGTAGAGAATGAACGCTTAACAACGTCAGCGTTTTTCTTTTCTCAGTAGTCTACATGGTTTATGCATGAATAGGTTTTAAAGTGGGATGAGAAGTAAGAAGGTACGTAGAGTAGGTGCTAATAAACACCCATGTTCTATTTCCTTCTGCATATATTCATACTGATGCACTTAAGTATTAATGTGCTAGAGGAGGAAATCGGAAATGGCTAGCTTCTCTAGTGATTTCAGCTGTTCAATCTAGAGTTAATAACAGCATAAATACATACTTCGATGAAGAAAACGCGCCGGCTCCTTTTTGTAAAATGCGATAATTCTAAATCTGTACTTTGCATGTTACAAACGTCCATAACGGTTGAAGGAGGTGAGAATAGAGTGGCCCACGCTGCTGACGACAGCCACTAGGAAGAGGTAACTTCGAGCCGCCCACCAATCGACCCCATCCCCCACGGTTCGCTTGACGAGCTGTTACGGAGTCTCGTGCTGAGCTCGCTTTCAATTGTAGTTGCATGCAAAGTGGTCGTACGCACGTTTTAAACAACGTTAAGGAAAGAGTGAGAGAACAGCACCAGGGCGCGAGGGAAACATAAGGAAAATGAGAGGGCGGAAAACTTAAGGCTAAGTCTACAGAAAAAGCGAAATTAGTTATTCTGTCTTTATACTTGTGTATATCTTTCGATAACAATGTTAGTAAGTCCTTCCAGCCACAAATTAGGTTCGCTAAGCAAGAAGTTTGATAATTATGCCGATAGCCTGTGTCCCTGCAAATCAAGATACGCATCAAAGTGAAGTAGTATTGAAGTGAAGAGAGCCACAAGGATAGTATTTTTCATTTTCTCAGTGACAGGTTATGGGAAAATAATCGCATTTGTTTTGTGCCGTTGGATCTGATTCTCTGACTGTGATGATATTTCTTGTTTACAGACCAATGACCGACGGGATCTTCAAAATTATTCTTTTTGTCATTTGTTGTTCGTGGCATGAAGGAGGTAAGGAATTCTATTTATGTTCTGCTTTATTTCAATGAAGAGATACATAACTGTCCAAATTTATAAAATAAGGATTGTAGCTTAATAGCTGTCTGATTTGTTGTTGATGAATAACGGGTCTACCAATACTTCGTGGTTTGAATCGATATAACTAAAATGTCTTTGATCGGCTTATAATATCTTACCGTGATATAATACTTAAGTCGCAAGTTAAAAACTAATTTAACAAGTACACTAACATAGGTGTTACAAAATAATCTTTAAACTTTCAGTTTATTATACATACTAACATAGATACTATTTTGGTGTAAATTTAAACTTCTGTCTATTCTACATCTACAAAAATGCTGCTAATTTTACTTAAGTGAAAGGATATACATCTACAAATATGCTGCTAATTTTACTTAAGCGAAAGGATATACATCTACAAATATACTGCTAATTTTACTTAAGTGAAAGGATATACATCTACAAATATACTGCTAATTTTACTTAAGTGAAAGGATATACATCTACAAATATGCTGCTAATTTTACTTAAGTGAAAAAATATACATCTACAAATATGCTACTAATTTTACTTAAGTGAAAGGATATACATCTACAAATATGCTGCTAATTTTACTTAAGTGTAAGGATATACATCTACAAAAATGCTGCTAATTTTACTTAAGTGAAAAAATATACTTTATTTCTACGTAATGATACTATTATTACTTAAATAAACAATTAAATATTCTATTATTCCTAATTCCGTTTAACGCAAACTGGAGTTTATCATGAGACATTTCTATAAATGTAAATGAAATAACGACCTTTTTCTCCAGAATATAGCTTTATTAGCTAAATAGTTCCCTGGATTAGGGAACTTGTAGGATATCGATAGCTCCTGACGAAGCTGTAATAGGGAAATATTGGGCTGATAAAGGTCGTGATTTTATTTACGTTTATAGAAATTACATGCTCTGACTGACCTATCCATAAGCATAAAGTTATCTGCAAAAAAAAACAAAAAAAACAAAACTGAAGCATCTATTCTGTCTATAAATATACGTACATATTAATTCATTTCTGCCTGTTTTCTACAAAATACAATATTAGTTCATCTGAAATCTCCAAAACAGTTTTTTCCTTTCACGGTAAACATCCTACTGTTGTTTGTTTTGAATACTTGTCTTTTACTTATGATTTTCTACTGTTTTTAGAATGATTTTTAGAGCACAACTTTTTACTTCACACATAGTTTATCCTCCACGTGTTTTATCAGCGATCCCAAAATCTGGGATTCCCGACAATATTGAGGGGCCAAGATTTGTAGACGAACCACCAGGAAATGTGATATTTGTTAACACAACAGGTTCAGTGATTACATGTGGAGCCACTGGTCAGCCACGTCCGGAAGTGGAATGGATTGTTCGTGATGGAAAGCCAGTTGTTTCAGTTCCAGTTACGCGAGAGGTACGACATGACGGTTCTCTGGTGTTTCCTCCTTTTCCACCAGAAGAGTTTCGTCCTGATGTCCACGATACTGTTTACAGATGCAGAGCCAGCAACACATTTGGGACTATAGGTAGTAGAGAAGTTAAAGTTCGAGCAGGTTGGTAAAGTTGGGTTCAATTTGATTTTCTAACAACACATCTTGTCTTATAGGCCTATCGTTTATTTTGTAAAATATACATTATATGTCTTATAGGTTTAGTAATAAAACGTCTCTTCAAAAATATACATACTTGTTTTTTCGTATCAACTTTGCTTTAAAAAATCCAACAACAAACAGTCAGCGTTTTAAGATAAGCTGTTATTTTTATAACAACTTACGCGCCTCATCAACATATAGCCAATCAGGGCAGTTTAATTTGTCATTACTTTCCAGTATGTCACTATTTTTTTTGTGAACTTGATTGATTTTCTACAAAATTGCTTTGTTCTAGAGTTCGTTTCGTCATTCTTTGTAAAGTAAGTTGTTTCAATAATTCGACAAAACATTGTAGGTACATTACATTAATACGAATTTTAAATAATTTATGAAGTGACTTGTAAGATAGAGAGGGTTTATTTATTATATGTGTGTATACATAAGGAACGATGAGTTTTTACGTTTGTCCTGTTTCAGCATAAGTGCTTAGACATGTGAAGATAAATATGTCTTATTTTTGTTACATTTGAAACTGTAATATATATATATATAACAGAAAACAATACGAAATTAATATAATTCAAAGAAGTGCGAGTATTTTCTTAAAATATCAGTATGAGGGGTATAAGAAAGACAATAAGGCACTGTAATATTTTATCTTTTACTTTTCGGTCAGAAATTTTTCTCCCTGTATTCCATATCACTATTTTCTGTAACTAACACTCCTAATTGATACATTTTTAGATAGAGCATTTCTACTGTCTTTCTCTTTGTACAAAACTTATATCTTTAATAATTCCCATATTACACCCTTTAGTAGTTAATAGGTACGTTGATAAGACCCCAGTTGAGCTGATTACATACACATTTGATTCAACTCTATATATATATCCTCTATATATAAATCCTGGAATAACTCACATAACTGGAGTAATTGTTCTTTATTCAGAGTAGTAAGAAGAGATGAAGTAGAATCCTCTTTATTACACACACACACACACACATATATATATACATATTAGTCTATTTATGCAATATAGTGAAAATATCAAAGAACTGTGGATTTTGTTGTGTATAAAATTTGTATCACGCGTTTTAGTTTTACTTTTTTGCTAGTTTTAGCGTTTTATAAGTAATTTGCTATAAAATGTAGAAACGAACTATTACGTGTGTCTGGTTTATCTCTCTAGGTTTTTAGTCTTGTCGCATCAGAGAAATACTTACAATGTCACACAGTTTTTCAAATCGATAGGCAACAAAAATTTGCTTAAAGTAACACTATTAGCTATTCTTTCCATGTAGTAGGAGTGAATGATGTGTGACAGTCGATGGACTCGCGTGCATTTTGACGTTCGTTGCTTTGCGTGAACGTAAATTGAGGAAGCGTGTCCCGCGGTAAAAGCTGTCAAATAGCATCCAAAACAACCTGCCAATAAAGGTTAAAATGACTGGCCCTCGAGACACGCTCAGAGATACATGTGTATTCATGTACAATAGTGTTGTCGTACTATCGAAACCTATATTTAAGGGATCATTATGTTACCATAGGTTACAATGGACGGTAAAATAATTTTTAGATAACGGTACTTTATAGATGTATTAATAGTCCTTATCTACACTTAGAAAAAGGGGGTGTAAAGTTTGTTCAATTCTTACCATTGCTTAAACACTACACATGACATTTACTTATGTGCTCAAAAATTACGTTAGCTGATGAATTCTATTTCACATGAGCTTGAAAACTTGCTGCTTTGAGAATTAATGATTTTAGTGCTAGCAAGTGGAAAGTAAAATAATAAAAAAATTCTTATACTGTTTTTATATTACAATTAGTTTACATTAAGCTCCATTGCAATATATTTGTATGTTAGCACTTTCTTGTGTAGGCTACAATTTCCAATAAAAACGTTTGAATTATTAGTTACCCGATAAATATGATCCTGAACATAAAATACTTCCAGTAAAACATGAACCCACAACTACAGCATCTGTGTTTACACGTATTGTTTAAACCGAAAAGTTATTATTTTACTCGTCTTTACCAATTAGAAGACATGGACATATCCACTTGTACGCTAAGATTGTGAATAATTACTCTCTGGTGTAAAACTTACCTCAGGCTAGAGAATAGCTGGAGTTGTATACCAGGAAGATATCCTTTTCAGCTATCAACATAATTAGATAATTTATAAAGGTGATACGATCTCTGGTTACAGAGACGATACATATAATATAGCCAAGCACTTCCCCAAGAGAAATATAGAATTTTAGGTTTCTCATCTACAAAGCCATAAATGTGATATAGGATATGCTATTATTATGTCCAGCCTTGCTTGATTCATAGTAGTTCTGCTGACATGTTTCCCTTGGGTACCAGGAAGTAAGTCCACAAGAGTGCTGGCTTACACGACACTCCTGTGGTTCATTAATTATTAAGGTTTATCAAGAAAACGCCAAGTGCTTTCGGAGTATAAGGGGGTGAGGATGGAAGTAATGTCCTTATTGATGCTTGATTATAGAGCAAACGCATTTACCCTTCTTTACAGCTTGTTGTAAAATCAGCAAGGAGTAATTATAAGAACATACGAACAGTAATAATGGTTGGAGACGGCTTGAATGGGTAATGAAGAAAAACTTTAGTATAAGTTTAACATAACAGCAAATGTACAACGTTTCGACAAGGTTTTGTCATCAAATCAGGATAGCAAATCAGGGGTTCAGGATAGCAAAATTAAACAAAAAATTAGCCAGTCTGGATGAGGTACAAAATCTATGTGATAACGCCTTCCACTTTAATTAACCTGTGCTGTGTTTATCAACATAGAAAACTAACCTTTGTAGATGAACAGTAAAGCAGAGACCATGAAATTGTCACCCATCTAAGCGGTTTTATGTCTTTACACGTAATTACACAATAAAGTTTATCTTATGTCATTTTTATAAACGTGACCCGTGTAATGTATGTGAACTTAAATTGTATGTTACCCGTGTTGTTAAACCCTGACACGTGTCGTGTAAGCTTTGTATTTAAAATTTTGACTTTGGTTGTGTAACTTAATCTTAAGTTGAAACTTCTGATTAAGAAGTTAGCACACAGGATCACATACAGAAGTTGTAATGGTTTTCAAACGAGACCCAAAACTCGAACGTTTTCGAATAGTTTACCATTTTTCTTCAGGAAGAAGAATAGTGAACTATTCGAAAACGCTCGAGTTGTGGCTCTTGGTTGAAAATCATTACAACTTAAGTTAAAACTGTTGTAGTTGCAAATCCATACCCCCTGGAGGTTATTAGAATTGATAAAACACTCGTTTTCAAAACAAACGTCTTTAGTTTGTAAAACATTTTGTTTGTTATGTTTGTATATTTTAAGCGCCATATTTAATCATATACATACTGACAAGATTGGTAAGAATTTACAGATCTTAAGACAAGATTAAGCCTATGTACTTTAGATACTGGAAATCACTTGGAATTACTATACGACTGGTGATAGAAACATTTATCGTCTCAAATTTGTTGAATCTGGTTGTTTGCTTGTCTGCAGACTTCAAGGAAGACGTAGTTGTGGAAAAAGTATTCTAGCATTTTGGCTATTATTACTTCATTTTTAAACAGAAATAAACGTACGTTAGAGGCTTTGAAGCAAACAAAAACGTTTTGTGAAAGAGAAGACATTTAGTATTGTTTAAACAAATCCGAGCTTGTCTTAATGGCCAAAGGCCGTTTTTTTTTAAGTTTGTACAACCTTGAAACTAGTTTTTGGTTTTTATTTTCAGTTTACATTAAATAATTTTTATGAGATTCAAATGAAACTTTAATAGGAAACTGAAAAATTTTAGTCGGTCTTTTATTTGAACATTTTTAGATTTAAGTGCTATCCGGATATCTGTAGTTTGTATTTGTTTTGTATTAAGTGACGTAAAGTAAAAAAAGAAAAACAGTTTATAACCTTCCTGACAGAAACAAAAGCTCTCATCTAAAAAGTTGAAATTAGAAAAGTAACATTACCCGTACAAATAATACTATCATTATAAGTAACATTAACTGTATTAGTAATATTACCCATATATGAATGTGATGTATATTAAAATTACTTAAATAACTCTTACAACATTGAAACCTATTGAGCCATTCCTATTTATAGTTTTAATAAAATTGGCTTTGTCTTATGAATCAGTGAGAACAAGGAGGAATCAATGAGGAAGCCTCAACAATTTGTATTTTGATTGATTGTGTTTTGATTGTTTTATATGCAACATATTTTTGAAAGTTGGAGCTTTTTTTGTTTAATTATTGTTTTTTTGTAACATTGTATGTTTGCAGTATACATATATGTCTTTATTAAGTGGGAGCGTTTTATTAACAAACACATTAATTAATTGTAATCGTTTTTGGTACTGATTTCGATTCTGTTGTACAAATGCTTCAAACTGTTCCTCAAAGTGCAGACATTATATATTTTATAAATAACCTATAACAGCCATTACAATCTTTGTAAAATGTAAATTGTATGAAACTTTCGCTATAGTGAAGTTTTGTAAAATCATTGTAATAGGTTTACTTTATCTCTATGTCTATAATACATTCCTTGCACAATATTAGACAATAGCACATTCAGTTTTACATTTATTATACATACAGCATTTGTTTTCTAATAATCGCTCTTGTTTTAGGGACAGTTTTATTAAGATTCGGAAAAATAAATGTATTGTTTTTATTTAATTATGATATTGTTGGAAACTACTATATGAGCATTTTTAGGGCTTTTGTCAAGTCCATTATTTCTTAGTTTATTATTGTTTTTGTTTGATTATGATACTGTTGGAAAATATTAGAACATTTTTAGGGCTTTTGTCAAGTCCATTATTTCTTAGTTTATTATTGTTTTTATTTAATTATGATATTGTTGGAAACTACTATATGAGCATTTTTAGGGCTTTTGTCAAGTCCATTATTTC